AAAAAAAAGAAAAGAAAAAGGAAAAATGTAAAAGTAATTAATCATCCGTAACGATTTAATGTTTGGTACAGCAATAAGGATGATATCATTCATTCATTCATTCATTCATTCATCCATTCATTCATCTTTTGTTTTCTTTCTCTCCCCTCTCTCTCTTTCTCTTAATAATGTTTTAAACACGCACAACACAAACAAACACAACAAGTTTTAAACACAAGACAACAACTTTCGAAAAGGGTATTTTTAATAACGTGATAAATAAATAAATTATTATTATTATTACCAATTTTACTCTTTAATAAATTAATCAAGTTTATGTTGAATTAAAAACTTTGTAAAATTTATTTCAACGCTTCTTAATAATAATAATAATAATAATAAAGGTTTTTAATCAATTTTTTTTTTTTTTTAACTTCATCAATTCTAACGTTTTGAAAATTAATTATTAAATGCACAATTTTTTGTGTGTTAAAAAGGAAAATGATAAAAAAAAGAAAATTTTTTTCTTTTTTTTGTAAACAAAAAAAGGTTAAACAGTAAATAAATAAATAAATAAAAGTAAACAAAAAATAAAACGTACGTTAATTAAAAATAATAATAATAATAATAATGGTTTTTCCGTTTTCTTTTTGAAGGGTAAAAAAAAAAAAAAAAGAAAAAAATTTTTTACTTACTTGAAATATAAAAAAATAAACATGGCGATAAGTAAAGCAACGACGGATACGGAATATCCAATGTAATATAATAATGACGTCACTCCTGTTATACTTTCGTCGAAAACTGATTCGGATATGGTACCTTCTATGTTCAGGCATAGAGTGTAATTTGATGATGACCAGGTACCGTTTTCGAAACATCTCCTCGTTGCGTTTTCTATATTTATTGAAAGAGAGAGAAAAATAATATAAATTATATTAATATTTTCAAAAATTTTTTTTTAATTTTAATTAATTAATTTCACACTTTTATCAATTTTTTTTTCAAAGGAGGGAGGGGGGACTAAACGGAAGCCACCACCCAAGCGAAATATCTTAGCGGGTTTTCACGAGAGAGGGGCATTTGCGGGGGTTTCAACCTGCATTTCAGCCTGAAACCCCTCCTCAGGTACAAACATTCGCGAATTAAAATCTATTTCGATACTATCGATATCATTCGAGTCTTATTTTTTTTTTTTATATAAAATGTGACGTAATATTTTTTTTAATATACCGCTTCATTAAACGAAATTAATTACTATTATTATTATTATTATTTTTTAATTAATTTAAATAAAAACGTAACAAGGTTTTTTTATTAATTATATAATCAAATTCCAAAGATTTAAATTAAAATAAATAAATAAATAAATATGGCGGCGCGCGTCTACGTCCTTATTAATTTATCCATTTAAGAATGTTTTGATTAAATGAAAAAAAATGAAATAATAATAATAATAATTATTATTATTATTAATTCGAACGTTAAACATCGAAAGAGCTAACGAACGTTAATTAAAACTTTTTGATTAACGATATATTTTTTTTTTTTTCCTTTTTTTTTCTTACAAGTTCTAGAAACGCGATTATTATTATTATTATTAATATTTCCTGTGAAAAAAATTTTTTCTTTCCCTCAACTTACTCCTCCTTTTTCGTCTTGCTAATTTTCAACCAGCAACCGAATAGTATTCACCTCGAATTGAATCATTTTCTAAGGAAAATTTCCGTTGCAATATCTTTGCCACGATATTTTTTTCTCGCCAACATTATTATTATTATTATTATCATCATCATCTCGATTCGAGTGATACAATTTATTTATTTTTTTCCTTACGTGACACGAAATTTTAGTATTATTATTATTATTACGCTTATTACGCATTATTATTATTAATATTATTATTTTATTATCATTACTATTATTACGCTTTTCCTCGTCGTGCAAAAAAAAAAGAAAAGTTTTTGCGGTTTTCCTTCTCACTTTTAAGGTTTCTAATTCTTCTGTTTCATTTTCCTCTCTCTCTCTCTCTTTCTCTCTGTCTCTTAATTTCTCTAACTTTCTCTTTTTCCCCCTTTCTCTCTTCCATACAATTTCTCTCTCTCTTTCTCTGTTTCTTTCTCTCAATTTCTTTTCTTGCTCTCTCTTTTTTCTTTCTTTCGTTCAATTTCTCTCTCTCTCTCTGTCTTTTTCTCTCTTTCTTTCTTTCAATTTATCTCTCTTTCTCTCTCTATCTTTCTATTTCTTTTTATTTTTCTCACTTCTTGCTCTTTTACTCTTCTTACTCTTTCTTTTTCTGAATATATCTCTTTTTCATTCTTCCTTTCACTCATTATCTCTCTCTGTCTCTCTCTCTCTCTCTCTCTCACTCTCACTCTTTATCTCTCTCCCTCTGTCTCACTTTCACACAAACGATTTTATAAATTTTACAAAACAATTTTTTTAAACTTTAGTTTTTAGTTTTTCCTTTGTAACGGTTTTATTAAACATCATTCATCCTTTTTTTTTACGCGCGTTTTTGAAAACTAAAAAATTTATATATACGTGCGTAAATGTCTACGCAATGCGTTTTTTTTATTATTTATTTATAATGTTTCTTACATATACTTAATACGTTTCATTTTTTTTCTACCAAGTAATATAAGACTTTTCTTTGTGGGTTCTTTTCTTTTTGCGTAATTTATATTAAATATGCGAGAGAGACAGAGACACATTTTTAAAGTTTTGACGATGTAATTATGACGTCATATAAATCACATAAGAACATTTTAAAAAAAGAAATAAGTAATGATAATAATAATAATATTAACCAAAATCCGTTTTTTTTTTTTTTTAAAGCAGAAGACGTTAAATAAATAAATAAAAACGTAAAACGTAAAAGAAACTATTTATTAGTGACGTAAAAAAAAA